CTGATTGTCGAAGATTAGTTGGCCATATATTTGTCAGTCCATTTCTGGGTTCTCTATTCTATTCCATTGATCTGTGGTCTGTTTTTATGCCAATACCATACTGTCTTGATGCTTACACCTTTGTAGTAAAAGTTAAAGTCTGTGTTTGTGATGCCTCAGCTTTGGTTTTCTTTCTTCAACATTACTTCGGCTATTCGAGGTCTTGTGTGGTTCCACACAAATGATAGGATTGTTTGTTCTAGTTCTGTGAAGAATGCTGGTGCTATTTTGATAGAGATTGCATTGAATGTGTAGACCGGTTTGGGTGGTATTGACATGTTAACATGAGCATGGAATGTTTTTCCATTTCTTTGTGTCTTCTTCACTTTCTTTCATAAGCTTTCGGTAGTTTTCAGTATGCAGATCTTTTACCTCTTTGGTTAGGTTTATTCCTAGGTATTTATGGTTTTTGGTGCAGTTGTAAATGGGATCCATTCCTTGCTTCCTCTTTCTGTTGCTTCATTATTGGTGTATAGAAATGCAGCCGATTTCTGTACATTGATTTTATATCCTGTGACTTTGCTGAATTCCTGTATCAGCTCTAGCAGTTTTTTGGTGGAGTCTTTTGGATTTTCCAGGTAAAGTATCATGTCGTCTGCAAAGAGTGAACGTTTGACTTCTTTGCCAATTTGGATGCCTTTTATTTCATTTTGGCTGATTGCTGAGACTAGGACTTCCAACACTATGTTGAACAACAGTAGTGAGAGTGGACACCCCTGTCATGTTCCTGATCTCAGGGGGAAAGCTCTTTTTCCCCATTGAGAATGATATTAGCTGTGGGCCTTTCATATATGGCTTTTATGATGTTAATGTATGTTCCTTCTATCTCAACTTGCTTGAGGGTTTTTATCAAGAAAGGGTGCTGTATTTTGTCAAATGCTTTTCTCCATCTATTGACAGGATCATAGGGTTCTTATCCTCTCTTTTATTAACGTGGTGTATCACATTGATTGACTTGCGAGTACTGAACCAGCCCTGCAGCCCAGGAATGAATCCCACTTGATCATGGTGAATAATTCTTTTAATGTACTGTTGAATTTGATTTGCTAGTATCTTATTGAGAATTTTTGCATCTAGTTTCATGAGGGATTTTGGCCTGTAATTCTCCTGTTCTACTTTTGAAAAATATTTTTTGAGATGGGGTGCCTGGCTGGCACTGTTGATAGAGCATGCGACTCTTGATCTTGGCTTTGTAAGTGTGAGCCCTGTGTTAGGTATAGAGATTATTTAAAAAGAAAATCTTAAGGGGCGCCTGGGTGGCTCAGTCAGGTAAGCGACTGACTCTGGCTCAGGTCATGATCTCACAGTTCATGGCTTTGAGCCCGACGTCGGGCTCTGTACTGACAGCTCGGAGCTTGGAGCCTGCCTTCGGATTCTGTGTGTCTCTCTCTGCCCCTCCCCTGCTTATCCTCTCTCTCTCTCTCTCTCTCTCTCTCAAAAATAAATATTTTTTAAAAATTAAAAAATGAAATCTTAAATGCAAAAACATTTTTTGAGGGGTGCCTGGGTGGCTCAGTCGGTTGAGCACCCGACTCTTGATTTCAGCTCCGGTCATGATCTCCCAATTTTTGTGAGATCGAGCCCCATGTTGGGCTCTGTGCTGTCACATGGAGCCTGCTTGGGTTCTCTCCCTCTCTCTCTGCCCCTCCCTAGCTCATGCTTGCGTGTGTGCACGCATGTGCTGTCTCAGTAATATATTTCTCTCTCTTTAGTATGTTTTAAAGTCTACTTATTTTTGAGAGAGAACGTGTGAGTGAGAGTGGGGGAGGGGCAGAAAGCGACAGGGACAGAAGATCTGAAGTGGACTTTGAGCCCAACGCGGGGCTCAAACTCAGGAACCATAAGATCATGACCTGAGCCAAAGTCAGATGCTTAACCAAGTGAGCCATCCACATGCCCCAAGAGAAGATATTTTGTAAGATAAAATGGACGTGCATAAAATTCACCCTTTAAAAATGTACAGGTCAGGGGCCCCTGGCTGGCTTGGTCAGTGGAGTCTATGACTCTCAATCTCCAGGTTTGGAAGTTCCGGTCCCACGCTGGGTGTAGAGATTACTTAAAAAAATAAAATCTTAAAAAGACAATAAAATGTATAGGTCAGTGGTTTTTAGCGTATTCACAAAGTTGTGCAACCATCACCACGATCTAGTTGTAGGACAGTTTTACCTCCCCACCGCCCCCACTGGAATATACCAGTGTGCATTAAGCCTCCCCATCCTTCTCCCCCAGTCCTTAATCTACTTTTTGTCTCTGTGGATTCGCCTGTTCTGGGCATTTCCTAGAAATGGAATCCTACAATGTGTGACTCGTTGTCTGTGTTCTTTCACTTACGTGGGTTTTCAAGGCCCATCTACATCCTAGAACGTGTCAGAACTTCATTGCGCCGTAGGGCTGATACTCCGTTATATGGATATTCCACATTTTGTCTGTTCATCAGCTGGTAGACATTTGGGTTGTTTCTACTTTTTGGTTGTTGTGAATAACGTTACCTTTTCGATTGTTGTGAATAATGATGCCTTTGACATTCGTGTGCATGTCCGCGTGTGGACATACGTCTTCATTTCTCTTGGGTATATGCTTAGGAATAGAATTGCCGGGGCAAATGGCCACTCTGTTCTGAACTTTTTGAGGAACTGCCGAAGTGTTTTCCAGAGTGGCTGCTCTACTTTAGGTTCCCGCCAGTCACGTAGGAAGGCTCCCATTTCTCCACATCCTTACCAGCACTCGTTAGTGTCTATCTTTTCGAATCTTGCCATCCTAGTGGGTGTGGAGTGGTGTCTTATTGTGGTTTTGATTTTCATTTCCACTAACTAATTTTGATTTGCATGCCCACTAACATTGGGCATCTTTTTGTGTGTCTCTCTTGGAGAAATGTCTCCACATCCTTTGCCCATTTTAAATTTTGTTTGCCATTTTTTTTTTTAAGGTTTAGAGAGGGAGGGCGGGAAGCGAGCAGGTGCACGCATGCGAGCAAAGGAAGGGCAGAGACTCCTAAGCAGGCACTGTCAGCGCAGAGCCCGAAACAGGGCTCGAACCCACAAACCTTGAGATCATGACCTGAGCCAAAATCAAGAGTCAGACGCTTAACCATCCGACCACCCTGGGTTATCTGCCTTTTTATTGCTGAATTATTGGAGCTCTTTATACATCCTGCATACTAGACATTTACTAGATACATGATTTGCATGTATTTCCTCTGTGGGGTTTTCCACTTTCTTGTTAGTGACCTTTAAAGCACAAACACTGTTCATTTTGATGGAAGTCCAATTTATTTTTTCTTTGGTTGTTTGTGCTTTAGATACTTTACTGAGAAACTGTTGCGTAATCCAAGGTCACAAAGATTGACACCTAAGATTTCCTTTAAGTGTTATAGTTTTGCTCTTGCATTGAGGTCTTTGATCCTAAACGCTAATTTCTGGAGCTAATTGTTGTGTGTGATATGAGGCAAAGGGTCCAAACTCCTTGTTTGGCATGTCCCACTGTTCCAGCACCGCTTGTTGAAGAGACTGTCTTTCCCTGTTAAATGGCCCTGACGCTTTTGCCAAAACTCAATTGACCATAAATGTATGGGTGTATTTCTGGACATTCTATTCTAGTTCATTGATCCGTTTGTTTGTCTTTATGCCAGGATCACACTGTCCTGATTGTTCTAACTGTGCAGTAAGTTTTGAAATCAGGAAGGGTGAGTCTCCCAACTCTGTCCTCCTTTCTCAAGGTTGTTTGGGCTATTCTGGGTCCCTTGTGCTTGTGTATGAGTTTTATTTTTATTTTTATTTTATTTTTTTATTAAAAATTTTTTTTTAAGTTTTATTTATTTTTGAGACAGGGAGAGACAGAGCATGAATGGGGGAGGGGCAGAGAGAGAGCGAGACACAGCATCGGAAACAGGCTCCAGGCTCTGAGCCATCAGCCCAGACCCCGACGTGGGGCTTGAACTCACGGACCGAGAGATTATGACCTGAGCTGAAGTTGGACGCTTAACCGACTGAGCCACCCAGGCACGCCTCTGTATGAGTTTTAGATAACCTTGTTAATTTCTGCAAAACAGCCAGACTGTGCTACTTTTATGTCTGTTTTGCTGTTGTTTTCCTGGCCTGTAGACTTTCTTTTATCTCTTTCCCTTGGGGCCCGGCCTGGAGGGAGAACAGAGCTAGAACAGGGCTAGAGAGCGAGTCTTGGCTGATGGGTGGTGCACAGATCACACTGGCCCTTGTCTTCAAAGGTGGCCCCAGGGGACAGGTGCGCCTGAGCACTGCCATACTCATTGGCTCCCTTCCTGCCCGGCCTCTTGCCAGGTCTTGGCTGGAAGCAGCTCACCCAGCAAAGTGTAGGTGGTGGTGGTGGTGGCAATCGTGAAGGAGGGGATTAGGAAGCAGCAGAGTTTGGCTGAATGCACGATTCTCTGCTCACTTCTAGGTTCTATCTTTGCTCCTCTTGCAAAAATGTCCGAGTTACATTGTGGTCGTTCTTACCAGGGAGTCATCACCTCTGCCACTGAGCCCAGGCGCCCCCCTTTGGGGCATGTGGCTGGGAGATTGGGGCCCCTCCACAGCACAGCCACAGTCCCGTGTGCTCGGGCAGTAATGGTGACAGGTGCTCCCTGCCATCGGGTGCTGTGGCAGAGACCGTGAGGACTACTTCCTACATATACATCCTCCCACTGAAACCTTGGTTAGTCCCATTTTACAGATCAGGCAACCGAAGCATAGATAGCGTAAGCTTATTTCTTCAAGGATCTGTGGCTGAGAAGTAGGGGGTGGAGGGTGTGTGTGTAGGAGGGGAGCTTTGAACCACTGCACTGACTGCCTCTTCATGGGGTCGGCCCCTTCTCGCCTAATTTCTATAATCTCATCAATCATGACGGGGCAACCCTGTCTTCCTGGTGGGGCTGCGTTCTTGGGTCAGTGGCCAGGATTTCTTAGGGTCAAGTTGAGCAGTAGGCTTTTATTCTACCACTAGCCAGGAGTGAGGAGTGGGCCTGTGATGAAGCAGAGACACCTCAGTGCCTTGGGTGAATTTCTTGGGTGTATTTCTTGGGTCGGAAGCATAGCTGCTCAGGGGAGCACTTCAGAGATCGCCCGGGCTCCCCAGCTCTATTGGACACCTTGGTTTCATTTGGATCACTGCAACTAGACATAATGGGGTGCACCCTCAGAGGACCCATTATCGAGGCTTTCCCACTGGGACCCACGAGTGGAAGCAGGAGAATCGTCCTCTTCCCTCCCTGCAGGAAAAAATGGGAAAAATGCCGACACATACATATCTGGGTTCGTGTATTAAATTATCTACGTGTGAGTGCACAGATCTATTAGGCTCACTCTAGAAATGTACCAAAAAAATTAAACGTCTTAAAACATGCCCTGTAGATCTGATCTGGACAGCCTCAGCCAGATTAAACATCACGTGGACACAGCGCTTCCCCGGACCCCGTCTCGTGCCCACCATGCCCTTACCCGCTCCTTAACGGAGGGGGCAGATTTCATCCAGTATCGTGTATCTGATACAAGATATGTTCTTCTTTCAGGCTTATCCAGAACCAGATCACGGCCAAGGGGATTGCCCAGCTGGCAGACGCATTACAGAGGAACACTGGCATAATGGAGATTTGGTAAGACACATGCGCCAGTCGTAGTAATGAGAACAGTGACTGTCTACTCAGCACCCTGACTGGGCGCCAGGCACAATTTAGAGCCTGTGCCACTTATTCCTCATGTTTCCAGTAGTCCCGGAAAGCAGGCTGGTAGTGTTTCCACTTCACAGAGGCAGAAACTGAGCCCAGAGCAGTGAGGGAATACTTGCCCAAGGTGCCACCTAAGAGGAGAAGCTGGAATCTGGTCCAGGCTGCCTGACTCTGTGGCCTGGGGCTCCCCTCGTAGGTGCCCTGCCCTCCTCTACCTCCCCGCTATGCACGGGGCAGATGGCCCAGGAAAGGGATCCTGCTGAGAGTGAATCACTCGGGGACTCAGGAGGCTGAGATGTGGATGGGGTAGCTGGCGTTCGGGGCCCCTTCTTCTCCTTTTCTGGGCTTTGCCGGGCTTGAGGAGACACTTCCCTGCTGGATTTGCTCCGACTTGTGCTCTTTCTTCCCATTTCTGCTTGGAGGAGGTGTTATGCTAGTGGGAGGGAGCTGGATTGTTTTGCTTCTACAACACCGAGCCCCACTCCACTTCGTTACTGCCTCATAAGACCCATACATCGTCCCCCCGAAGTGGGTCCCGGCCTGTGGACTGTGTGGGCAGGGTAGGGGGAGTTCCCATCAGTGACAGGTGCGGCAGCGGCCTGGGTGCTGGGGATGTGGCGGTTAGGCGGACAGAAAGGGTCCTGATGGCTTGAGAGCACTGGCTCACCGGGGCTGCGGACAGGGGGCCCTGAGCAGGCTCCCGGCGCTCTGGAGTGTGCCGTGAGCCTCAGCCTGACACAGCCCTGCAGCGTGACCATGTGGGGCACCTAGCGGGGTGGGGGGCACAGCCACATTTCCCTTGAGGACACGGGCCACAGGAGGGGTTCACGCTCTCCCCGTGGCTTCCCTGAGGTCCAAGGAGCAGCCTCCCCGTGAACTCAAACCCTCAGCTCAAGGGGTAGTTACTCATCAACTACCTCATTTCGTCCTGCCGGGGGAGAATTTCCCAGCCGAAAAAAAAGTACATCGAGGTAGAGCTCCTTGACCTGGGCTCCCAGCACAGCGTTTTTTAAACTTTGCTTTGGAACTTGTTAGTGCATCATAAAATCAGTTGGGCGGGTTGCAACCAGCACATTATTTGGAAAACAAGGTCGAGCAGAACACCAAAAGTCACCGTGCACAGCACGAAGTATTATTTTAGAATCTTGGGTCAGATGTGGGTACGTGTGCCTGCGTGGATGCTGGTTCAAGACGTAAAATGTAATTCTCGTTTGGGTCGTGCTTGAAAAAACATTTGGAAGACGCTGTCCTAGAGGGGAGAGCCCAGCTCCAGCAAGGCTGACGGAGGACGCTGGGGCTTGGGTGCGTGTGACCCTGTGCCCACTCCTGAGTCCGCAAGGCATGTGGGAGCTGTTGGAACTCTGGTTTGCATTAATCGCCAGCCCCCCTCCTGCCCGTGGTCCCTTCCCTAGAAGCACGTCAATTCTTGCTGACTCTGTGGTTCGAGAACAGCGGGCAGAGGGGGAGGAGGGGGCAGGCCAGGCTGCAGAAGTTTGCAGACAACAGTTGGCCTCTGCTTTTCTCGGTGGCTGATTAGGACAGTTGTAAGAACACGTAGCTGCTTTAACTCTGTCCGGCTTGAAAAATGTGCATTTGTTGCCTTGGAAGGACCACTGTTCCTATACAAGGAACTACGTGTGCAGGGCCAGATGTCTTTAGCTTGAAGGTGTGCTACCCAGGGCCTAGAGGCGTGTGTGTGTGAGTGATGTCATGGAACCAGGCTTAGTGACGTCCTGTCGCGTCGGCCCTGTCCAGGGCTGTGGGGATGAGGGAGCAGCTCTGTCCGCAGTCACCAGGGGCACAGGGACTCATTGTTCGTGCTGACATTGATTTCTACCTCATCCCTGTCCCATGAAAACTTGCGGTCTGATGCCCCAAGTGAGTTCTGCTTCAGAGACAGGAGGCAGGGTGAACAATGCCCTGACATTGCGTGGCATCTATCATACCGCTGGAGTAGCTTCCTGGGAGGCTGTCTGCTCCAGACTGTGAGCTCTTTGAGGGTGGAGCCTGGGTCATGGTGTTTAAAAAAAAAAAAAAAGTCAAGTGAGTAAAGGTGAAGGTCTGATGGGCTTTAGCAAGCAGTTCCTGAGTTGGGCGGCATTCCTTCCAGAAAGTAGAGGGGAGCTCTGCTGAGCCAAACAGGAGAAAGGTTCTTAAAGGCAGAGGACATCAATAAGGAAGAATTTATTAGCAGGGAGTACATCGTTGTAAGCAAGGTTGCCCTCCTAGGGGGAGCAGGAAGGTCTGACAGTAAATTTCCTAGTGTTGACCAGGAAATTCTATGCTGACTGATTAAAGGCTGCATTCATTCCTAGGGTGTTAAAATTAGGTTGGAGTTAGGTTAGGTATTAACTGGTTACCGATTTGGGGCCTTAACCTAAGCGATGCTATTTTGGGCCTGTGTGTGTGACAGTGGTCCCCGGGGTGCCCAGTCGGTTAAGTGTCCAACTTCGGCTCAGGTCATGATCTTGCAGTTCATGAGTTCGAGCCCCCGTCAGGCTCTGTGCTGACAGCCGGGAGCCTGGAGCCTGCTTCAGGTTCTGTGTCTCCCTCTCTCTCTGACCCTCCCCCGTTCATGCTCTCTCTCTGTCTCAAAAATAAACAAACATGAAAAAAAAATTTTTTTTAAACCCAAAAAACAAAACAGTGGTCCCCTTTCGGACCGGCCTCTCCACTTCGCTGAGAGCTGTGATCAAACTTTAGGGCATTAGCGCCCCTCTCAGCTACTGCTCTGTAGTTCTCGAAGCCTTTGTTGATCCTGTGCGTGGCATTCTCAGGTCCTGATGTTTTCGCTTTGTCTCTGTGACAGTCACAGGTTACGAGCTCAGGTTTACATTCTGTTAAGTCACTTTGTCCTCTTTGTACCTTTTTGGATGGTCCAGTCTGAGGGAGACCATTTGCTTAGCGGTTGGTGGCCTCAAACATGCATTTAAAGCATTTAAGAAAATATAACGCACCAGGGTGATTCTTATGATTATGATAAGCAGGGTCCTCCCCAATGTTTGCAGGGTACTTTGAAGCCCTGGTCTCCAAGACCCAATGCCATCAAAATCAGACAAATCAAAGAAAGACCCTGTGGAAGGAGTCATCTTCTTAAGGCAAGCGCCTTGTTTTGGGCTATGATGTAATCGAGTTTCAACTTTCCCAGGAGTGTAATCCAGGTGGCACCTCCTTGCTCAGCTAAACGATAATCAAGGGCTATTCTATTCTATTCTCAAGAACAACACTGGCCAGAGAGTCTAGGGATCATTGTTGGGCAGTTGTTGCAAGAATTTCAAGAATTAAGAAGTTCCTGTTCATAGCTCCGTTTGTATTTATCCCTAAACAGAGAAGTAGGGGTCTGCCAAACAGAGTCCTGAATCATGAAAGCTTCCTGGGAGGTCCTTTCCAACTCATGGTGTAAATTCACAGGAGTTGACCAATGATAAAAGTTAGATTTTCTCCCGGCCTGAAATAAAAGGTTGCTCCAAAGTCCAGAGGGTGGCCTGGGAAATAAAGATAAGGGCATTACCTTTCCTAGCCGATGCCAGGGTGAAGGAAAGAGGAGAAAGCGTGTCATGTTCAGTTCATGTATGAAGCCTTGATCAGGTATCTTGAGCAGAAGCCGTCTACCTTGGGGGCGGCTGTTTCTTTTCCTTGTCAGTTTGATTTGTGGGTCTCCAGCGTCTGCATGGGACCAGGGCTCAGGAGGAGCCCTCTTGAGCCATGTGACATGTACCCCAGGCTCAGTGCCTTCTGATTGTGCAGCACTGTCCGTGGTCAGGAGTGCTTTGTAAGGTCCTTTCCAATGGGGCTCAAGAGCTGTTTTTCTCTGGTGATGTTTCCAAAATACCTAATCACCACCAGGCTCTAGACTGTGACCAACAGGACCCTTTTAATTGGGATCCCAGATGCCTTTTTTTTTTTTTTTAATGTTTGTTTATTTTTGAGAGAGAGAGAGACCCAGAATTCGAAGCAGGTGCCGAGCTGTGAGCACAGAGCCTGACACAGGGCTCGAACCCACAAATCGCGAGATCATGACCTAAGCCGAAGTCAGACGCTTAACTGACTGATCCACCCAGGTGCCCCTATATTTTAATTTTTTAACCTCCATGCCCAACCTGGGGCTTGAACTTACAACCCTGAGATCAAGAGTCGCATGGTCTATTGATTGAGCCAGCCAGGCGCCCCTAGATTGGTGAATTTACGAATACATTTCATAGTTAGAAATGTGTTTTTTCATGGTACAAGAGCACAAAACAGGTTTTGCTAACATGTGCAAATCTGTTGCACACAGAGAAACTAAAGAGAAAAGTGGATAAACCTATGTTAATACTTAGTGTTTTCTTATTTGGAAGTGATCTAGATTTTCAGTGGATTTACCTTACCATGTAACTTAGCAAAACTTTAACGTTTTGGGTTACCACCAAAAAAGAATTTGGAAGCTATTTATCTTATTTACATCTTATCTTATTTACATCTATTTAATTTACTTGTTCTTAACAATTATATGTGGAGTACCCATAAAACTTCATAGGCAAACTCAACCATTATTCTGTTTAGTTTTTTTTTTTTTTTTTCTGACAGATTTTGCAACAGAGATATCATGAAACTAATCTGACTTTCAGTAAACAAAAGCAGAATAAAAGTTTCATATTTAATGCTCCAGGGGCACCTGGGTGGCTCAGTTGGTTAAGTGGCCAACTTTAGCTCAGGTCATGATCTCGCAGTTTGTGGGTTCAGGCCCCATGTTAGGCTCTGTGCTGACAGCTCAGAGCCTGGAGCCTGCTTCAGATTCTGTGTCTCCCTCTCTCTCTGCCCCTTCCCTGCTTCAGCTCTGTCTCTCTCTCTCAAAAATAAACAAACATTAGAAAAAAAAGATAAACATTAGAAAAAAAAACTTTTTTAAATGCTGGTAACTCTAAAGACAGGTCTATTTTAATTAAACC